CCTGAAATACTCCGAAATAGCGCGAAATAGCCTGAAATAATCCGAAATAGGCGGGAAATAGCCGAAATGGCAGGAGAAATAACCGAAATGGTAGGAGTAGGGTTGCGAAATTACCGGTAACAATCATTGTTACGGTAAATTACGGAAAAATTGGTAATTTACCGGAAAAATTGGAAAAATTGGTAATTATCACTCTGAAGCCCATTTAAAATTAGAATTTAACGTCAATGTGAAGGAGAAGGGTATTAGAAGCAGAAAACACTTATTTCTTAATGCTTGGAACAAAATAAAATTATTATTCATTGAGAAATATTAACATTATTTTACTTTTAATCATTACAATGAAAGTCAAGTCATTTATTTAGAGTGGTCATTGTATTGTCAGTTCAGTTCCAGTTCAGTTACCATTTATTGCACATTATTGTCGATGAGCTACTTATTGCGATGACGTTTGCTTGATCTAGTGCTGCTGGTCGATGAGGTTCCTCTCGGCGCTGCTGTTGCTCGCGTCACTCGCGGTTGTTGAGTAGGCTGGGCCTGTTCCGGGGGCGGGACCGTGGCCGTGGCTGTTACTGTAGCGCCTGAAGTATCAGGACCAGGTTCAGCGGTTGCCATTTCTCTTTCCTCTGCCTCACCCTCACTGTCGGAATCGGTGATAGCCCCGTCTCCGTCGAACGTCCAATCGTCATCTACCTCTTCCTCCGAAAGTCCGTCGTCGTCACTCTCGCTGACTTCCCCGGTGTCACCGTCCCCCCTCTCTTCTCGCCGGTCACCATCTTGTAGGTACTGGTCCAATATTTTTACAGGAAGTGGTTTGCGACTGCTTTCGTCTTTGGGAAGTGCAGCAGTCAGGCCTGCTCTTACAGTCACTAACTTCGCTGTTCTATCATTTGTTAGTCTGTTTCTAGTCTTGTTGTGCACAAATCCATAATTTGACCAGCCTCGCTCGACATCTGCTGTGGACGGTGGCAGCGACAGTAAATTTGCCGCAAGTTTGGCTAAAGGTTGGTTTGCACACAGACCAGACCACCAGGTTGCTGGGTGTAGGGTTTCGGCGGCCTTCCATAATGATGGCATGGCAAAAAAGGCTGCCTTTGAGCGAAAATTACCGAGGTTGGCAATTGCCTCTCCGAGGTCTATACCAAGCCGCTCTGATTCTGTAGAGATAAAACTAATCGCCTTGATGATTTCTTCATCGTCTAACCCTTCTCCTCTGAACCTAGGGTCTAGCATGTAAGCTGCCAGGTGAATGGGCGCAATGGTGAAGGTTTTTCTCTCTTGCAGAAGCTCTTTTACATAGTTTTTTTCTCTTAAGCTAAGCCTCATACTTGTCAAATTAGACACAACACATTCACTAAATTTCTTCTGTAGATAGTAAACATCCGACAATAATGCATTATTGCTCTCTATAAGTGTGATGGAAACCTGAATAGCAGTTAGTAGCTCAGTTACAGTTTTCACTCTTAACCAGAATTTGTTGTTCAAAACAAGAGTTCTTACAGTTTTGTCTACATCTAAGTCCTCAGCAATGACACATTCCTGCAGGGCAGTTTTATTTTTCAGAAGGGATTTAAAAAGAATTACTGCTCCACCCCACCTGGTATTAGAAGGCAGGAGAAATACTACGAAATAGTCCGTACGCTACGAACCCTAGTGATTTCCCCCTCGCAGAAAGTACGTCCGTTTCTCTCAAAATCATCCTCCAAATTACAGAAACTATGCACCTGCAAAACTCGGGGTAGGCCACCCCGCAATACACGCATGCACTGCATGCAAGATTGTGCCTACCTATCAGGCGCCATGAGAGCTTGCATTGCCTTAATTTGGAGGGTTCGTAACGGCGAATGACGGACGTACTTTCTGGATGATCCCTAATTGGATGTCCGGGGAAAACGAAAGCCCGGCTGTCGTCGACGGCTGGATCCGATGCTCCCTCATTTTCACCATTTTGAGTCCACCCCTAGACCTCCAGGAGCGCTCCCGCTAGGCTGAAACTAAGTCTCCAGGGCGCCCTCCTCTCATGGTCTGTGCATGCCCCGGCCGCTCGTCCGCGCTGCCCACCGCACCTCCACCGGTGGGTGATCGTCCGGAGGCACGCCTGGGCACGCCCTGGTCTGGGCGCGGCCTGTTTTGGGTGGGGCCCGCCTGGCCCGACTCACCTGCGGGGGGGAGGGGGGGGGGGCTTTTACACGCCCCGCGCCGCCGTCACGTGACGCCGTGAGTTAAGCCCACCTGAATTGGAGCAAGAACCACCGGGGATCCACCCAGAGGCGATGGGGTGCGAATTTGCGTGGTGTGCTGCTGCTGAAAGGCTCCTCAGTCTGCTCCAGCTGGCGGCGCCTCCCCCCTGCCCCCGCTGGAGCCCCACTGGGCTGGGTGAGTCAGCGCCGCCCCCCCCCTCCCCCCAATCACCCGAGTCAAAGAAAAGGTCTTTGAAAAATTTGCAGGTCGTCGGTGACGTGCTTCATTTATCAAATCAGGTGCAAATGTTTGGCAGACAACTCCCCGATAAGATGCAGACACTTTGCAGACAAATCGCTGCTCATTGGCAAACCACTCATAGACCACCCGCAGACAAACCGCAGACCATTTAGTCTGCGGATTGTCTGAAAACGAACCGCGGATGGTTTGAGGAGTGTCTGCGGGGGTACGGGCGTGCGAAACCATGGCTAAACCATCG